CAAGGTTAAAAACATTGCCGACCAAAAACAACACAAAGACTTGTCCCAAACCTGCCAAAAACATCTTGACAATCTTCAAGACTTTTGGGAAAACATTTAGTGGACTTACTTGAAAAATATATCCTGTTACATCTGGCGTAAAACTAACAAAGCATTTCATAAAAAGAACATCACACCAACAGTCACATATTGCTGTGGTGGTAGCATGATGGTCTGTGGCTGCTTTTGCTGTTATCTAGGCTGTTGAACCTGGACAACTTGCTGTAACAGATGGAAGTATTAGTTCTGCATTCTACTAGAAAAAAATGTTAATGAGGGAGAATATAGCCATAAGTTTGTGCCATGAAGTTCAAGCACACTCAAAATGCTCAAAAACCCTCCAATATGTATGAATTAAAACAATTCTGTAAAGAAGAGTGAGCCAAAATTCCTCCCCAGCCACGTGAAAGACTCATTCTCAGATATTACAAATACTTGATTGCAGTTCTTGCTGACAAGGGTGGCACAACCTGGTGTTATGATTAGGGGGCAATTACTTTTGCAACATAGGCTAGCTTACCTTAATAAATAAAATCATCATTTAAAAACTCCATTTGCATTCTCAGTTATCCTAGTCTAACATAAAAAAATTATTCTGTGACAAATGTGCAAAAAAAAAATTAAGAAGGAGGCAAATACATTTCACTGCACTGTACACCCACTCTCCAGACTTTGTGTTACTAAGCTATAAAGACATAAAACCACTCCTGTTTTAACCGTTTGTGCCAGTCAACCAGGTTTGTTTATCACCCTTAAGTGTTCATTATAACATACAAGTACTGTTTGTATTTTTCATCATGTTTTCTTTTTGCAAAGTAAAGTTCTGAATAGAAAAAGTGAGAATAGGAAATGTTGACAGTGAAATCAATAGCAATTTAACAGTAATGAAGTGAGTCAGTGGTTAGACACTAACCTCTAATGCTACCTAATACATTTATGGAATCTTCAAGCATAAAAAGAAGCCAACAAACTGTGTTAAGTTTCATTTAATATTTCTTCACTCACAATAATATTAAATCGGTCCAAACTATTGTGAATCTGACCTGGCCGGAAATCTAGGTCAGACTTCAAGGGTTCAAATTGTGAGCTTGTTTGTGATTATTATTAATGACATTCAGGATATCAAACACACTTCCACGGTCTGAAGTGAAAATCAGCCACATACCTTAACAAAATTATGATTTCCTCTGTCCTCAAAGTCCTGCTCACACACAAGCACAGGCTGGGGAAAAAAAGAGGTTTTTAAGATTTTAAAGTTTCCTTTTATTTCCGCCTTTGACAAAGTTAACCCACGCTAGGTACCAATCCAGGTACCCAGTGGTGGGAGAGGTGCCTACAGTAGAGATTTCAGGTTCATCCAGGAAGAACTGGGCTGGGATACCCCTCCACCTAGCAACTCAGAGCTTGTTTGAACAGTGCAGTGATCTTTGGACCTCGATGGCGACTCAGTGTAGGATGTAGGTGCAGTAAAACAGCAATAACTGGGAAGAAATTCAGCCAATCAAAGGTAGCATTATGGTTGCGACCTGGGCGGTCATGTAACACACCCCGTGCCAGATGCGCATGCTCAAATTGAGCAGTTGAATTAAATTCAGGTCACGTTTTGACTCATTCATAAGCATGAAAAAATCATGTATCGTTATACTGATTGTCACCAAATATGGAGCTTGCTGACATTTACCGGTCTGATCTCAAAATAATGGAAAGGCATATCATAGATAAGTTATTTTATTTGTCAAGATTAAAAGGAAGTCTGTGAGGAAAGATACTATCTGCTCTGTGTCCCATTAGAATTTAGTAACTGTTGGAGCACAATACAGAATTAGCAGTAATGACAGTAAAACTGAAGGGCCAGTTTATTGATAGAGGCCATTAGCTGGTCCAATGTGGTCTAAACTTGTGAATACAGTGCATAAAGCAAACTGTGTTGATCTACAACAGCAGAATGTGAAGTATCAGAAAGAAGGCTGAGCTTTATAATCTAACACTTCCCAAAAAAGAGGATGAAACCACACGTGAGACAGATGGTGGTAGAGCTGATTTATTGGAAACCCCAGGAGCAGAGGGATGATTCACAACAGGTAAATGTTCTGTCCTGTTTGAAGCCACTGAAGATACAGTCAGGAACTGTAACAACCTCTTGAACATTTTCAGCAAATAAAATGCTTTGGTCTTGATTGATAAAGGCAGTAAAAAATCACCCAGGTGAGAAAGTAAATTTTGAAGGGCTCTACTGGCAAACTGTTTCAGCAAAGAGGAAGCTCACACATACACTATCGCAGCCCCACCAATGCTTCTGTTTTTCATAAACAAATGTATTGCAGCTCAGGTGACTAATGATGATCAACTGGAACTAAAAAGTGCAACTTGTCACTCAGAGTATGAGCAAAGTCTTAACTTGATGAAGAAAATGGGTAAAGCCATCCTGACGCATGGGCCAATGGATTAACAGCTGTAAATGATAGTCATTTAGGCCTAATCGAAATCTGCTAGCCTGGATTACAAATGATGGATATATCCTTTTTTAGACACATTTTCCAGATTTGTAACTGACAAAATACACAACTGACTTGTTGTTTTGGAAGTGTTTCTTTACACCTTTAGTTCCTGTTTTTAAAGATGGGGTTATGAAAAGGTAAAAAAAAAAAACAGTTACAGAGATAAGACCAATGACTGGCTGTACACTGTGAACACTGTGAATGTTGTAGTATCAGGTTAAGTCACACATTCATGAAGGACTGAATGTTATTATTAACAAAGAATAACAGCACACACACACACACACAAAAATCCTCATGCAAATAACCACAGTGTGTCAACTATACATGTTAAAATGAAGGGGGGAAGGGAAAAACAGATTTTCAACTGGAAGCAAAATCCAAAGTTTCTCATTTTTGCTCTTTACAGTTCACCATATAGGACATAAAGCAACCAATAAAGGCAAAAGAAATGTGTGTGCTGTGCTGTGTGAGGCACGAGTAATGTATTTTGGAATATGGGAAAATGTAAGAAAGGAGGACCATTACTTGTTTAAAATTGTGTTGTTGTCAAGCAAAAAGGTAATAACAAAAAACTAGCTGAAAAGTGACCCTTTAAAATTGGAAGAATGGACTGATGTAATCGAGGACATATATATAATGGAGAAAATGACCTACACTTTGAGACTGAAATCTGACAAACACCGAAAACAGTGGACAAAATGGATAGCTTAAAAGACTCACTCAGCCCCATAGAGCAGGGACCTCTCCTCGTTGTTGTTGGTTTTTTTTGTTGTTGTTTTTTTCCCTTTTCCCCTCTTCCACAGATTGGGTGTTCTTTATTTTTTTTTTTTTTGGTTTGTTTCTTTTGTGTGGTTTTTTTCGTGTTTTTGTTTGCATGTACTACAAAATTGGAAAAAGTACAAAAGAAAAAGTAAAAAGAAAAAAGAAAAAAGAAAAAAGAAATGTGTGTGCAGCACACAAACTCATTGCAGTTGTGTGTTTTGTATACGTTTTTGTATGTTTTTCTCAGAATGATTGTTACACTACTGTATGAAGCCATGTTGTCTAAGGTGATCAGCCACTCACCATACACACACACTATCAACAAGGGGCACTTTGATGCATAGAGCAGGATACTATAATTTTTTTTTTTTTTTTTTTTACCTCTTAAGCCCCAAGGGGGTTTCTGAGCTTCCTGCTCGAAAATGTAATGCCCAAATTTAATTGATTATTTCTCTGCAATTACAAACTCTGTCCTTATAATCTTGGTATCAAAATAAAGCTAACACTTGTGAGATTTCATCAGAGGTGTAAATATTGAAGCAGATATTACTGCGTCAAGGTTACTGAGACTGAAACACAGAAAAAGTAAGTATATTTTATCCTCGCCTAATTTTTAATTTTAATTTTTAGGATATAACCCTTTTAAAAATATGCCTCAGATCACCTGTGCAAAGACTTATGTTTCTAAAGTGAAACAGTGAAAAATTACAGCCCTGTCAATACATGAATATCCAGATGTTGTACAAAAATGTCCAATTTTGGCACACAATTGGACACCGTACCAGTTGAATTTTTTAGGTATTAAAGAGCAGAAATTAATAAATTTTATTAACAGGCCTAAAAATGCTTTCTTTTAAATATATTTTTGAAGAATTAACCGCACATTTACATGGTAATGGCCCTTTTCTGCGGTGCGCATGAAGCATTTAATTGGTCTCTGGCCCTTTAAACTCCAAGGGGCTGTAACTTTGGTTTCTTTTGGTCAATTTGCATGATTGACACCTCTTTTTAATCGTTTTAGCCAATAGAATCAAAGTAACGATCCCACATTCACGTGACTTCAACCAATCAGACGTTGCAATGCCAAAACCCACGTGGGCCCAAATTTGCTGCATGTGGCGTCTGTCCAGTCACGTGTCTATAGGTGGGTCTAAAATGGCGGTTGTTGATGGAAAACGGCTCTGATGCGGCTAGGTAGGTGTGGTAACTTCTGATGATCACGTGGCTACTGGCTACCAGCGAAAATAATGGAGGAAATCGGGATGGTAAGCCAATCTGTGTCTTAGTGCATTTTCGCCGCTATGTTTTTTTGTGGTCTTCTTTTGCGGCTCATTCAGTGAATTTTGGTCTGATTGTCCACACATGTCTGGACTTATATTTCTCACCCCGTGTTATAACCGATTAAACGTGATCTCTTTTTTGCCCCGGTACCGGGGGCGTGGGGCTTACGTGGTTAAACCTGTTTAAATTTTAGGTTTTGTTTTTTTTTGTTTGTTTGTTTTTTTTGTTTTTTTATAACGACTCAGCATTTTACATAAAAACTTATTCACACATTGTAAGACACCATTAGTTTTTATGCTGACTCTGGAAACCACCATATATTTTAAGTTTACCCTGTTTTGTTTGTCTTCAGTGTCAGGTTGGCTCGAAAATTATGAAGTTATGTCGTCTTTCAGTATCTGTGTACTGTGTACCAGGCTAAGGACTCTGTGGCTCCTCAGCAATAGTGCGGTAGTGCTGTGGCTGATTTTGAAATATGGAAGAGTCTGTCTGGGTGAACAGAGCTGTCATCTTTAGGGGGCGTTTTATCAGGAATTTTCTAGATGTTACCAGATCACCGTAGCCCTGGGAGTGAGAGAAGGCGTAGCCTGATCGAGTACTACGCCTTCTCCGTAGACGACGAGGTGCAGGTGCAGTCAACTCCTCTGTACGCATCTTATACCTCACCTAGAAAAAAGAAATATGGGCTTGTTTTGTTTGGGGGGTTTTTATGCAAACTTTTTTTTACTATGGATACATTGATTCAAACTCAGTTAAATTACATGCTACTTTATAGTGCACAAGGTGCATAGAAGACAAGAAAGTCTTAGATGCTTTATGTGTTCAGTTTAGTTTTTTCTTTTCTTTTTTTACCTTGTCATTAATGGTAGGACAAAGCTGTATAAAAATGAAGCGGAAAGCTACAACAGGCAGGATACAGAGGAGGAACGTCAGGAATATGGTGAGCCACACATTAGGCTGGTTCAAAGTGTTTCTTGCTGCGCCTAAAATCCAAAAAGGACACAATCACATGAGTCACATACTCAGGTCTTCTTTAAAGTACCAACATTTTAGAATAGAAAAAAACTTCAAAAAGTTAACATTAAAGTGGCCTCTATACTAAATGCAGTAAATGTACTTACCAAATAAGGGGAAAGAAGACGGGAAGACATAAAACATGCCATTGCTGTACATGGTGACTGAGATGGCAAAGTAGCCTATCGTGCTTAACCACACAAAAAAATGGTTCACTGCTGTCCAGTAATAGGTGTCAAGAGACAGCTGAAAAGTGGAAGATTATTGTTATTATTATTATTACTACTACTACTACTACTACTGTTGTAGTACTGTACTATTACTAATTTATTGTTAGTGTCCTGGTGCACAATTAAAATGACTGGCTGAGATGGAATGGAAGTCTATCTGTTACAACAGACTAATATACTGCATAAGTATGGGGCGCCGTTTGTAAAGTGAAACATGCTGAAATTAACGGCAACATTTTTCCACATTTAGCTCAAAACCTTACAAAAACATGTTTTTTCAAGTAATTTTTTACAACATTTAGTAAAATATTTGTAACTTTTCATCAAATGTTAAATATTAAATGTAAATGTTAAATATTAAATCTAAATATTATATTTAAATCTAAATGTTAAATGTTAAATCTAAATGTTAAATCTAAATATTATATTTAAATCTGAATGTTAAATGTTAAATCTAAATGTTACAGAAAACTAAATATTTAGGCTACCATGCAAATTTATTGTACGGATCAACGGAAATACCAAAATAAAAGCTTCCTGAAAACCTCGGTCCAAAATTGTGTCTGCTCTCCCACTCACTTCTCCCCGCCATGTGCTGCTTCACTTCTTGCCTACGACCATGTCCAGCGATTTTGCTGGACATTAGACCACAAAACAATGCGCATTTTATATTTCTCATTGTTTTTTCCATAATTTAGTTACTGTGTCGAAGTTTGGGGGAATACATATGAGAATACTATAAAACCTATAAACTTATTACAGAAGAAAGTGATACG